ACATGAGATCATATTATACATGAAGTCATATTATACATGAGATCATATTATACATGAAGTCATATTATACATGAGATCATATTATACATGAAGTCATATTATACATGAGATCATATTATACATGAGGTCATATTATACATGAGATCATATTATACATGAGGTCATATTATACATGAGGTCGTATTATACATGAGATCATATTATACATGAGGTCATATTATACATGAGATCATATACATGAGATCATATTATACATGAGGTCGTATTATACGTGAGGTCATATTATACATGAGGTCATATTATACATGAGATCATATTATACATGAGGTCGTATTATACATGAGGTCGTATTATACGTGAGGTCGTATTATACATGAGATCATATTATACATGAGGTCGTATTATACGTGAGGTCGTATTATACATGAGATCGTATTATACATGAATAAATACAGTAAATATGTGACCCGTCACATTGAAACCAGGATTAAGTCCAAAAGTAGGATATTAAGAAACAGGCAGATATACGGTTTTGATTTAAATGTGTGCAAAAATTGCATTTTGTCGAAATATAATGAATTAATGCTTTAATGTATCATTTGAATGAACTGTCTAAAATATAATCCTAAACATTTTTTGAAGCGTTTTGTTGAGCCGTAGCAACAAAAACCTGATTTTGAGGTTTGATTTTGAATTTTTCCCTGTGAGTTAGCAATGTTTTAGTTTCTTTACAACTGGGAAATCATAATATACAAATAATATTTGATGTTTCCTCTTTATATTAACATCAAGAATCACTCTATAAATGTACATAAAATTAGGATTCAGACCAAACGGTAATGTATTATCAGAACCAACAAAACGAATTAAATCATATCTCTGGATAGGATTATTATATCAGGATGATCCAGGTATCAAAATGTAGTTTTTAAAGCAGGAATCTGAAAATGTAATTTGATCATTTTGACCAAATTTGACTCGATCCTCATTTCATTGTGATGGCTCACATATAGAGGACACTGAGACATTCAGGAGACACTCGTCTCTCACAGTTTAAATAATGAGAATAAATCCTCAGAGGACTGAAGGAGTCCACTGATTGTTTTATTCCTGCTGTTTGTCAGGTGACCAAAGACGACAGATCCTTCCAGAACATCATGAAATGTTACCGCACTCAACCTCAGGCCAGCAGCAACGTAAGACAGACACACACACACACACACACTGAAATTGTTGTTGTTGCATCATTAGAAGCAGGTTTTACACTCAGAGGCATCACAACAACCTGCCGTGCCACTGAACACACGTGTGTGTGTGTGTGTGTGTGTGTGTGTGTGTGTGTGTGTGTGTGTGTGTGTGTTTTAGGTCTACAGGAGCGTGTTGATCTCAGGGAGGCGGGGCTTACCCTCCCTCACCTGTACTCCCAACAAATTGAGGTCATCAGCTGACGGCAGCCAGGATGCAGGTCAGATCCAAACACAGAATCTTTAAATAAATTTAGTGTTTCTTTGCACATCGGATTAAAACAGCTGTTTGTTGTTTTTATTTGTGTTGATCAGAGTTTGTGTTTGTAACTCATCCACATACAAAATCCTTCAGTTGGTCTGTAAACTGCTCTGACCTCCCTCAGGTGGGAACATCAGCCCAGTTCCGGTCCGCTCCAGTAGCACCCTGCCCACCCCTCGACCCGGCAGTGCCCCCTCCACACCCACCTCCAGCAAGAGCTCCTCCTCTTCCTCAGCTGAAGAGGAGCGGGAAGACCTGATTTTCTTCTACAACAATGTCTACATCAAACAGATGAGCCCGTTCGCTCTGAGATACTCGCTGAGCTCGCCGTCTGCAGCGGTACGTCCTCCAGCCTCGGGTCTCTGAGAGATCACAGGAAGTGGATCAGGTCCTTCTGGTCCACTTCCTGTGGTCTCTGAGACATCACAGGAAGTGGATCAGGTCCTTCTGGTCCACTTCCTGTGGTCTCTGAGACATCACAGGAAGTGGATCAGGTCCTCCTGGTCCACTTCTGTGGTCTCTGAGAGACCTCAGAAAGTGGATCAGGTCCTTCTGGTCCACTTCCTGTGGTCTCTGAGAGACCACAGGAAGTGGATCAGGTCCTTCTGGTCCAGATCTGTTTACACTCTGCTGATGTTTGTTGTCTCATGTGTCTCATGTCTGCAGGAGTCCCCCCCTGTGGTTCCGTACCCGTCCCTGAGGACCGGTTCCCCTCGCCGGATGCTTCTGTCCAGCAAACACTCCATTTACATCTCTCCTCACAAGTCAGGCTCCGCCCCCTCGCCGTCCACTACCCGGGACAGGATTTACTACTACATCTGCAGCAGCCCCCCCAACGTGAGACGTCCTCCTGTTACAACCTGTTACCATAGCAACCACCAGCAGCTGAGGCTCATGGGTAATGTAGTGTTTAGAGACGATAACATCTGTCCTGTCTCCACCCTATGTCCTCTGTCCTCCCTCCTCTGTGTCCTCTGTCCTCCCTCCTCTGTGTCCTCTGTCCTCCCTCCTCTGTGTCCCCCCAGCGTCTCCAGGAGATCAACAGCATGATCCGGACCGGAGAGACTCCCACCAGGAAGCGCAGCATCCCTCTGGATGAGGAGACGTCCCCCAAACGTGTCTGTCCTGACAACCACACGTCCCTGCTGCGCCGCCTGCAGGACATCGCCAACGACCGTAGCTCCTCCCACTGACAGTGACAGTGGGAGGAGCTACGGAGCACACAAAGACACACAAAGACACACAGACACAAAAAATAAGAAATAAATAAATGAAGACTCTCAGATTCTTGTTATTTGAGTGAAATCCAGACGTTAGGATTGAACAGAAACCAGCTTGTCCTTTGTCCTCTGTGTCCTCCTTCCTGTCCTCTGTGTCCTCCTTCCTGTCCTGTGTGTCCTCCTTCCTGTCCTGTGTGTCCCTCCTTCCTGTCCTGTGTGTCCCTCCTTCCTGTCCTGTGTGTCCCTCCTTCCTGTCCTNCCTCCTTCCTGTCCTGTGTGTCCCTCCTTCCTGTCCTGTGTGTCCCTCCTTCCTGTCCTGTGTGTCCCTCCTTCCTGTCCTCTGTGTCCCTCCTTCCTGTCCTCTGCGTCCCTCCTTCCTGTCCTCTGCGTCCCTCCTTCCTGTCCTCTGCGTCCCTCCTTCCTGTCCTCTGTGTCCCTCCTTCCTGTCCTGTGTGTCCTCCTTCCTGTCCTCTGCATCCTCCTTCCTGTCCTGTGTGTCCCTCCTTCCTGTCCTCTGTGTCCGCAGCGTCTCATGTTTTTATTGGTTTTATTTAACATTTTATTATTATCTAATCTTGAATCTCAAACTGAAGTTAAAAACAAAATATTTAAAATCAGAATTGAAAACAAAGAAACTAAAAACACTTAATTTAATCGATTTAAAGAGTCATTTTTATAAATGTTTATAAATTATTTGACACAAAACAGATTTTAGATTTATTCAGATTCTTTCTGGATAAAACATTTGTTTAAATAACTTGATCTAAAATTCAGGATTTAAAATGAAAGAAACAGATTTTTCTGCAGTTTGACGTTTTTGTTTTTCTGTTTTAAGGTTTTAACATGAAGTGTTTTATTCAATCATATTTAAACTTGTTTTATTAATTTTACTAACTTTAAGTTTACAAAAACTGTTTAAGTCTTAGTTTGTTTCATGTTTTTAACTCTGAGCTCATTCACCTTCAGGAAGAGAAAAAATGTAAATATTTGTACAAAAGAGAAAAAAGAAGCTATTTAACAAAGGTGAAGGAAGTTAAGTGCCTTTATTTTGAAATTGTTACATCTTTTTGTCTTTCTCTTTATTACATAAACTATAATAAATGTTTAAACTGATTCTGTTTGTTCTCATTTTTATTACGACTGATTTTATGTTTGAGGTTTATTATTATTATTATTATTATTATTATTTGAAGCATTTTATTTTTATCATGTTAGTGAGCTGAATACATATATTTTACGTTCTGGATGTGGAACAGAAATGAGACTCCATTTAAATGTTTCCTTTTTTAAAAACTTGCAGCAGATAAACATTATTTTATGTTGAATGACAAACTGAAACGAGACTTTAGAGGTTTTATGAGCTTAAACAAACTATGAATGTAAAAACTTTGAGATGAGGATATTTGAAGTCTGTGGTTGTTAACATTTTAGCTCATACCAAAGTAAATATTCACCAGTAAAAATAAGAGAGAAAAAAAACTTTAAATTTTATTTTATTTACAGTCATATTTTAAACCTTAATACAATAAAATTATTTTGTTTATTAACGGTTTTATTTGCACGTTATTTAGATGATTTTGTATCTTCGTGTTGAAACGGAAGCGGAACCATTATCAGAGCGCACCGTGATTCTACCCGGATGGTTTTTGTGAACGGCCTGGCTACAACCGAGTAGCTAGCTTTTGTGTAAAATATGACGCGTTTTGTCCATTTTGGGTTGAATAAGTAGTTTGTTTGTTTTATTATATTAAATGTTAACAGTTTGGGGTTAAAATGGCGACGCTGGTTCTGGATAACGGAGCCAATTCGGCTAAAATCGGCTACAGTTCGGAGAAAGTCAGGTAAGATCGATGTTAAAATAAAATACTTTTAGTTCAGATAGAACCGTTTATTTCACCAGATTATAAATGATCAACTATAGTTTGTTTTTAGCTGCTGGACTGAATAAAATAGTTATAAATTATATTTAATTTAGTTAAAATAACACGAAGATAAAGAGGATAAATATTTTTTTCTTATTTTTAATTACAACTTTGTTCTTTTCTGTCTGTTTCTATCATTATATAAAAGCTTTAACTGACCCAGTTTCATGAAATATTCCCTGAATGAACAATATCTTTTATAAATCACAGTTTGAGACTCTTTCAGGTGTTTTGTTATGATTTATTGAACTTCTCCTTGTCCCTCAGCGTCATCCCAAACTGTCAGTTTCGCTCGAAGACCTCCAGATTAAAAACCTTCACAGCCAATCAGCTGGACGAGATCAAAGACCCGTCGGGTCTGTTCTACATCCTGCCCTTCCAGAAGGTCAGAGGCTGGAAAACTGCAGAGAAATGAGCTAAAAACTTACAGCAGCTTCGCTTCAGTCCTGATGAAGAGCAAACTGCTGTGTTAACACAAACAGACAGATATACAGACACACAAACAAACAAACAGACAGACAAACACACAAACAAACAAACACACACAGATGTCTCTGAGTTCAGCATCAGAAACTATTTTCTCTTGTTTTATTTCAGATAAAAGTAATAAAACATATAAACATCTGGTTTGAACTCAGAGAGTCTGAAGCTAACCCGGTCCTGGTCCTGGTCCTGGTCCGTCTGTTTGTGTCTCTGCAGGGGTACTTGGTGAACTGGGACGTCCAGAGGAAAGTCTGGGACCATCTGTTTGGAAAAGAGATGTTTAAGGTGTTTGATGATGGAGGGAACATGAAGCAGTTCTGGTTCTGACCCTCCAGCTGAGTTCTGGTTCTGACCCTGCAGCTGAGTTCTGGTTCTGACCCTGCAGCTGAGTTCTGGTTCTGACCCTCTTGTTTTTTCTGAGCAGGTGGATTTCTCTGACACCAGCATCATCATCACTGAACCTTACTTCAACTTCAGCTCCATCCAGGAGTCCATGAACGAGATCCTGTTCGAGGAGTACCAGTTCCAGTCCGCCCTCCGGATCAACGGTGAGTCCGAACCCGGGTCAAGGATTTATGATCCGGGACTGGGTCAGGACTGAAACTGAGTGAAGAAGCAGAACCTTTAGGACCTTCAGGGACTCTGGAGGAGAAATCACATCCTGCCTGGATCAGCTGAAACCTGTCTGTCTCTGACCTGTCTCTGACCTGTCACTGGCCTGTTTCTGACCTGTCTCTGACCTGTCACTGGCCTGTTTCTGACCTGTCTCTGACCTGTCACTGGCCTGTTTCTGACCTGTCTCTGACCTGTCTGTGACCTGTCTGTCACTGACCTGTCACTGACCTGTCACTGACCTGTCTCTGACCTGTCTGTCTCTGACCTGTCTGTCTCTGACCTCTCTCTGACCTGTCACTGGCCTGTTTCTGACCTGTCTCTGACCTGTCTGTGACCTGTCTGTCACTGACCTGTCACTGACCTGTCACTGACCTGTCACTGACCTGTCTCTGACCTGTCACTGACCTGTCTCTGACCTGTCACTGACCTGTCACTGACCTGTCACTGACCTGTCACTGACCTGTCTCTGACCTGTCACTGACCTGTCTCTGACCTGTCTGTCACTGACCTGTCTCTGACCTGTCACTGACCTGTCACTGACCTGTCTCTGACCTGTCTCTGACCTGTCACTGACCTGTCTCTGACCTGTCACTGACCTGTCTCTGACCTGTCACTGACCTGTCTCTGACCTGTCTCTGACCTGTCACTGTTCTGTCTCTCTGACCTGTCTGTCTCTGACCTGTAACTGACCTGTCTGTCTCTGACCTGTCACTGACCTGTCTCTGACCTGTCACTGACCTGTCTCTGACCTGTCTCTGACCTGTCACTGTTCTGTCTCTCTGACCTGTCTGTCTCTGACCTGTAACTGACCTGTCTGTCTCTGACCTGTCTGTCTCTGACCTGTCACTGACCTGTCTCTGACCTGTCTGTCACTGACCTGTCTCTGACCTGTCACTGACCTGTCTCTGACCTGTCTCTGACCTGTCTCTGACCTGTCTGTCTCTGACCTGTCTCTGACCTGTCTCTGACCTGTCTGTCTCTGACCTGTAACTGACCTGTCTGTCTCTGACCTGTCTCTGACCTGTCTCTGACCTGTCTCTGACCTGTCACTGTTCTGTCTCTCTGACCTGTCTGTCTCTGACCTGTAACTGACCTGTCTGTCTCTGACCTGTCT